AGATAAACTGATGGTACTGAGTCATTGCCACGGCAAAACATGTCTTTAAAGAGCATGTAACATATGATATGGAACAGAATAGTTCATAAGGGAGAGTTATGAAAGTTTGACAGTGAAATAACTTCAAAAACTCAGTTATTTTTCGAAAAGTGAATAGTTTAAAAACGGTTAAGATAAACAAAATTTACTAAATTTTCTTTTCAAAATTGTTTAGTTAATGAAGCCAAGCGAGTTGAAGGGGAATTGTTTTCGAAAGGGATACATATGGTAGCTCAAGCATCGAGTACTTTTTTCGAGAGAGAGGCTCTCCATCATATCTAATGCGTAAAGTCCAAAATATATTTTTGCAACGCCAAACTCATTTGAAATGTTTTTTTTGTAATATTTTGACAAGGGATCACAGAGTACTTCGAGTATGGTGAAAAGTTTCCTCATTGTAGAATGATAATATAGCGTTTTAATAGTGCTTTTTTGTGTGAGGAAATACATAATAATAATTAAGAATTTTTTTTAATGTGCCTTCCATGCTCGATTTATATACTTCTATTGTTTTATCTTGACGGGATTAAATCGTCGGGAATGACCTTTTTACGAGCGATAAATGTTTAAATTACTAATCAGAAACGCAGTTTAAAACTCACTTTTTCCGAGGTTTTCAGGAAAATATATCAGTTGGTGTGCAAAGAGAATTTCTAGGTACTGATTACTTCCACGAACTATAAGCAAAGGGACTTTTAAGTGTGGGCACCGGTTACCAGAAAAACCTAAGACACTTTGAACTTAATTAGAATTCAGTTTTGTCTAAACTTTTTTCCTAGACCCATTCTTTGCTGTAATCGATATCACGGTGTTGAAAAAAAAAAAAAGCTTTTAGTTTTTACTCAGGGTATTCTCATTTCTTCTTCACCTAAGATAGCATTTTGATCCTTCTACCCAGTCTTCTCCCGATCGATTGTCGAACAGCTAAACAAAATAGCTAAATCTAAGGATTAATCTTGCTGCAGACTTGGTTAAACAGAGCAAAAAGGAAATAATTAAAATAAAAAGAAAAATACCCATAAAATTACGGCTAGCTTCAAGGGCGGAAAAGATGAGACGAATTCCCTGGCAATGGGAACCCATCCAAGCACAGGAGGATCTAATTATACCATCACCACTACCCACGGGGAATTCATGTTCTGTCCTCATTGCTGGGTGAAGTACGACTTTAATTTACTCACAAGAGTTGCAGAATACAGAAATCCACTACAATAGTTAGAGGACGGGAAAATCTGAGCAGTCGACCATGAAATCCTCTGCGGAGTTTCATTTGGGTTACTGAACACTAACATCGGTCGTACTGTGGCTAAAGTGCTCTAATTTAGAAACAATAATCAAAAATATCAAATTTTTGAGCTAAGAGGACAGAAAAATCAATGAAAAGCAGCTCTCCAAAGTGAAACAGGGGAGAGTTCTAGAATGGATTGGGTGTTGCAAAGTCTCTTTCCAACCGATCGCAATTTGTTGACTTTTTAAGGGAAAAGCACCTGGGTTACATCGCCAGTCTGACTCTACCATACAAATATTTTACCTTTTAACTCCCAAGATCTGTTTGTTAATTCTCCTTTCCAGCTGCTTCATATTTCCTTGTAAATTAGTAAAGAGAATTTGGTATTAGATCAAGATTACTCTTACCTGATGAGTTTAAGTTCTCTCATCACCTGTTTGCTGGATAATGTTTGGATATTATGGTGAGAAGTTACATGTTAATCACTTCTTGGAGTTAAAGGGTTAACAATTATTGGCCCGAATATGAATAAAGTGAAATAGAGAATAATACATGGGTATGCGTAGATATAGAATTTCCCTTCAATTGTTCAACTCGATAACTCAGGGCTGGAAATCCCTGTAAAACACTGCAGCATATAAAATATTTTTAGCATCTACCGCACAGAAATAAGGAAAAAAAATGTTATTCAGTTCTGTCGATATACCGAGACATGGTTGGAAATAAAACTCTTGACGCGGTATTTTGTCTTTCCGGCCGCTCAGAGCACTTTCAAATTAGCCAATCAGTGAGCGCAAAAAGTAGTTGTGGAATTTACGAAACCTTGTTATTGGCGAACAGAATGGATGCGGGAATGTGGTAATTTGTCGGAAGAAAGCATTTGGTAAAATTGTGGAATTTAACCCGCTCCTAAAAAGGCACCAACCATTATCAATAAGAGCACTTTCTAAAGGTTGTTTTTAAAGTATTTGAGAAGAAAGGGGTGACGAAATTGATCAGTCGATTTAGTCAAAACTACTAACTGTCTCAGAATGGGCCAAAATAAAAATGGTTTAGAGAAGAAGAAGGGAGAGCGCTCTTCGTTAATTAAGTGAAACAAGCCTGGGCATGAGGCGGAAGATTATAGCCCTCATGTGTAAATAGTAAATCAAAGTATTGATCCCTATTTTTACAAGGATGATCAGAATAGGTCCCAGGAGAGCGCCTCGCTGGCAGCACACGACCTTTCACGCTCCATGTTTTCCCTCTATGTTTTAGAGAGATTTATTAATATTTTAAGTTTCAAATCTAGTCTAAACCCAAAAACATGGCTTTGACGTATTCAAGATCAGTACTTCAACAGTTATCGTCGTTTTCCCCGGCTTTATTGAGTCCACTCCTGTGGCGTCGCTTCACTGAGCACGGTATCACTCGCATAAAATCCACACGTCGGGGCTGCCGTGGCGGTCGCAGAAAGCGAGGTAACAGTGTATCGTGCCTAGGAACTGCAAGACAATTCCGTGCCAACGTCTCTCCAACTCCAAATGAAGATGATTCGATGGGTTCTGACCAAATTGCTGCACTGGACCACGAATCTAGTAATTTGCATAACCGCTCGTCGAGCTTATTAAATATTCAAGGTAACACCTTTCAAACCAACAAAACAAACAACCCTTCCGTTCCGCCGGTGTTGCCCGAGAACGGAACGAACACTTCAAACTCTCGGACTGACGACAATACGTTTCCAGTCATCACGGATCGTCCCATTGAATCGCGTAGCGTGTTTGGTATGAGCTTGATGCTTGCAAACACAATGTCTCTGGCGCCCAAGATCGACGAAGTTCGTTCTACCATCTT